ATGCTCAAACCCTATGAACTTCAGTGGGATGACTTCCTCATTAAGATTGTACTCAGAAGTCAGAAAAAGATTTTTTTTAAGAGCTTCAAGTGTTTACCAATGTCAGTAACTTGATTGCTAGTAGAAAGCCAGGGATACCCCTGTAACAGAGGAGCTTCAGAAATTACTTCTGCAGAAGTTCTGAAGCTAGATCTGCAAAATTATATCCTCTAGAGTATATCCTCTAGAAATCCATCTACTGGCCAGTAAAAATGCTGTAATATCAAGAGAGACATTCAGTGCTAAAGCTAAGAAATATGACATTGGAAAATATGGAGAGTAGTAATTACGTCTTTTAGTGGCATTATCAGTTAAAAAGGGCAGATTTTTTCCCGTTAAGATGCCTGTTTTTTACTCCCTATAGCATAAAATGTTTCCTATGTTCCCTGAGAGTATGTCCCTGAGAACAATATCTACAACAATTTGTGAAGACTCGTTCACCATTATATTTAAATTTTGTTATTGAATATCACAGAAGTTATGATGGGATGAAGATGATTTGATAAGTTGAACTGAATGAGTTTTGGAGGAAGAGCATCCTCACCTTTGCTAAAGCTCTATTGCTTTTACAGTTGCAGTTATTCCTAGATTCTAAAGCAACATTGCTGGAAATCAGGCTGATTCTTTCTTATCATTTAAAAAAAAATGTAGTGATTAAAATTTTTCATTTCACTGGTGAGAGTTTTGTTACTCCAAATGTGTCATCACCTGAATGTGTAAATGATAATCGTGTACTATGGACATCTTACATCCTATGAAGGAACTGAAAAAAAAAAAAAGGATTATTAATCTTACAGAGAGGAATTATGAGGACTGAATGGAATTATTAAATAATAACAGGGAGTCAAGGAAAAAACTGTTCACCAGCCCTTTGTATATCATTTGTATGGTCTTACTCCAAGTCTGTGGAAATTAATAATGCCTTAAGAAATTGGGAGCTTAAATCATCACTCATTGTTACATGTTGTGGAGGAAGCAACTCTTCTAACAGAGGGTGGCACAGCTTTTAATTTAAAGTCATCCAGTAGAAAGGAAGACCTGATTGTTCCCAGCTTCAGAATCAAAAATTACTCAGCAGATGTATTTTATTTCCTTTTTCTTTCTCAAGGAAAGGGCCAATGATACCTACAGTTAAGACTACTGAGGAATCCTACTAGTTGTGCAAAATACTGACTGCTAGAAATTTCCCTCTGCCTTAGACAACCATAATCCATTTCTGTTTCTCAAGCAGCTTTCAGACCATCATCATCAGAAGCAGATCTCAGTAACCACGGAGCACTGAGCCACTGGTGATCCAGTCCATGCTGAAATAAACAATGCTGTCCATGCTGCACGAGCTGGAGGCAGAAGTGTGCTTCTCTTCAACAGCTCAGCACTATGGTCACTGAGAGGACTCTGCTGCAGTCACACAGGAGCCCCTCCGTGGCAGGGAACAAGAGGAGCCAGATATACTCTATTCAGCAGAGAGGGTATTCAAGAGATTGGTCAGTGTAGGAACAGCAGAAGCCAAATCTTGTGAACTGTGACACTTACATGGGTGTGTTTGAAGAACTAAGCCCAAGGGATAATTTGTAATACAGGAGATCTATTCCTCATTTCAAAGTGTGATATTTATATGAAATAGAAGAGTGCACGTGTCAGTGACAGAATCAGAAGATTCCCTACAGCCTGTCTTATCTGAGCAGATATTCCTCCCCTTAAAATTTAGTGTGAAAATTATGAAGTCAACAAAAAATTTTGTATAAGATTTGAAGGTTTCATCCAACCTAAAGTTGCATCCTTTCCATTGGTTGTAGTGAATCACACAGGAGCTCCTCAGATTGCTGGTTTAAAGGTTCATGAAAAGACACTAAAGCCTTTTCATTTAGATGATGCTCTGTAACTGAGACTCTTGGGCTATGACAGCTAATCACTAGGAGGCAATGAAAGTCTTACCAGAAAATTTGGTTGAGGAAGTAGAAGATTAATCTCTACCAACTCAAAGGGCTAACTACTTAAGGCTAGAGCAGAACAGCCCTTAGAGAGAAGAGTTTGTGGGCCTTCAGAATTTTCTTTTTCATAATGACTCTCTGTGCTTCTTGCATGCTATAAAAAAGATCCCCTTTTGCATTTCAGCATCTCTATTTCCTTTGATCTGTACACATTTCTCGTTGATGCTAATAGAGAATGACACTGATGGGGAATATTTTTGCAACAGGGGGAGCATAGAATTGTTATTCTGGCTAAAGCAAAAGCAATATGACTTAAACAGAGTATTTAAAAGGCTTTACTCAAAGCGGTGCAATTGAACTTGATATTAGGCTTTCTCTCTCACTTTTTTTTTTTTTTCATTGAGATTATGTCCATATTTTATCCAGGTTATTGTGTTCTTGGAAAATTATACTGCAACCCATTCTAGCACGTTAACAACAAAAGAAATTCTCTAGCTTATTATAAACATCTTTCAAGAAACCAAAAGCATATGTCCTCTGGAAATAATTTTGCTGGTATTTAGGCTATTACAAAAAAATTTCCCAAAACACTGGAATTATTTTGTAATGTTCCTTTACACTCTAGCTTGTTAGCTTAGGTTTTCTAGAATATTGTCCCAATGCCCCAATATAGTCTCTTCCTTGGGTTGCACAAGGAAGATGAAAAAGTAGCCCAGAAACTCAGCAATTTGTGTCTGTCTTTGCAGTAGTGATTATGTGGTACATGTGCCATCAGTGAAAAAAGACCTAGTGTAGACACCAGCTGTGCAATCATTACAGTTGGAAAGAAAAGGTTATTTTATCCTGCAGAGATTTGGCAGGATGATGATAAATTTTTTTTTGCCCCAAAGCAGATGGAAAGTTTAAAATCTGAGAGTTTTTGAGAATTAAAATTGGGGAGAAAAGTTTACTAAAAATAAAAGTTTCATTTAGATGTATTTGATATGTCTTTGTATTTTCTGTATTTTTTGTCTTTCTATAAACTTCTTTAACTTCAATTAGTTTCATTTTCCTCACTGAAAAAAAAAAGTAGTTTAACAGCAGAAAGTATGGATTTTTTTTTCCCTGAGAATTCAAAAACATAGACAACTCTGTTGTAAAAGGAGGCAAGAAGAACAGAATTAGGAAACTGCTCTGGGAAGTGCCCTGCTCAGCTTCTGAATGTGCGTTATAGACTGACTTTGGTTTTGTTTGCTTTGTCCCTTAATGCACTTTATTGCTAGGTGAGTCCATATTTGTTGCATCACTTTTTAACTTAAAACTATTAACTCCTGTCCATAGATTGTGAACTTTCTGGGGGCTGCTGCATCTCTCCAGGTGCACTCTGAGGTGAAATACAAAAGAGAGTAACATACAGAAACAGCTGCCTGAAGTCCAACAGTGAGGCATTAAAACAGAGTTTGCTGTCTGCATGCAGCTGTGGATCCTCAGTTATGCTGGGGGAGACAAAGCTGATTTCATTGTTTGAACAGGCTTTACTCCTGCTCACCTCCAAAGTGTTTGGACCTTGACTGGTGTTGGGTAGCAAGAAGGGAAGAGCAGCAGCTATTTGAGGGCTATCCTTGGAATTAGTCCAGAAAGAAAAAGTATCTGGAAACAGGTTTCCTTCAAGTTCAGCATGTGTTGAGGTGTTTTATTGACCTGCAGGAAGTATCTGAGTGCTTTAACTGGTGAGAGCTTTTTGTAAGAGATCTGAAGACTGCCTGATTACTGATGTGCCTGGGCACTGGCATTTACTCCATGTGCATGGCAAAGGGTGGCTGTCACCCCTGGTGCCAAGTGCTCTCATCTGTGTCTTTGTCCTCTTAGCATAGCTTTGGCCTGCCACATGTCAACACAAGGCCTTTTTCAGGGAGTTTTAAAACTCTGCCTCTTCCTCTATCAAAGCCTGACCTGTATAAGCAGAATTTGGCCAAGGGGCGATCCCAGCAGGACCAGCAGAGGAACAACAAGCTCCTTATCCAAGCAGTAAAATTGCCCAAGATATTAGCTGAACTGTTCTCAAGTCACCTGGCTTTATGCCCAGGTATACATGGTTGTAAAAAGTAGAGGTTATTTACTGACAATTGGTGGGAAGGCTCCCAGTTCTAAGCCTCACCTGAAAGTGAAACCATCACATGGCATTTGAGTTATGCCAGTGGCATAATTTTAGGATCCACCTTCACCTAATAAAGAAAGTTGGTCTCTCTGGGATCTCTCTACTGCCAGAGAAGGATGAAAGGGTTCCCAAAAGGCAACTCAGAGCAGTAGTCAGAATTACCAGGAGCATCAGGCTCCAACTCCAACTCATCTCTCTTTCTCTTGCCTACACAGAGAACAGAGCAGAACCACAGCAGCTATAAGCATCTGAAGTGAGTTGGTAAAAAACTCTGTCATCTATTACAACTGGATGTCTTGTCCAGGCACTACTTTCTTAAAAAAGAAGAGAAACATCTCACCATCCATCTGATTTGTTTGGCATGTATCTGTAAGAGTATATTTCAAACAGAAACTTGTACCCAAGAGAAACTGTTATATTAATGTTTTTTCCCTTAGTATGACCTATATATATATATCCATCTTATTCCTGCAATTCAAGGCATTTCTGACTTATACCAATGAAGTGCAGAATAAGGCTCCCCATTTCTCACTTGAGAAGTCTCAAAATAAGTGTGAACAGTACAGTTATGATTCTGTCAGTAACTGGTATTTTTTTCCAAAACACCAGCTGCTAGAAGCATGTGACAATGAACAGCAGGTTTCATTTAAGGACAGGCCAAGTTTGGAGACATGAGAACTGTTAGAAAGCTGGAAAACATAATCCAGTGTAACACAATGCTCAAAATGAAAAGAACCAAGATAATTAATCGCTTGAAAAATTATTACTTAAAAAAGTACCTGTATAATTTTTACGGCTATTTATAATATATGAACTCAAAGTTCTAGTAACATTACAACATTTGTATTGAGAGAGGAGTATACAGAAAATTATGACATTTGAAAATCACTTACCAGGATCAATTTTCTTTGAGGTTTCAAGAGCTTGGGCTTCGGGAAATTATTGGCAATTGGAGCTACAAAAATAAATATTCAGGGATCATTTCACATTGTCATTTTTAGTATATGTATCACCAATCACACCATTCACTTTAATTTTTAGTATATGTATTAGCAATCTATAAATTACATATAAACAGCAAATTAGAAGTAAATGCATGTACTTATATATTAATTTAACCATATTTCAGGTATTTTACAAGAAAACATAATGAATGTTTTGAATTAGAAAAATTCATAAGATTAAAGAATCTGATATGCAAGACATGCTGTTTGTATGCAAATATTAGAGGAAGTATACCCTCTGGGAACTGATCATTTGTGATCTAACCCACAGTAATTCTTCAGGGCCTTTCCCTCTTCTCTCCCACTGGCTTAGCACTGGCAGCGTTGCTCAGAAAGTACACCCAATGATTTGTGAGACTGACCCCGGAGTTGCAAATCCTCCTGGAAAATGAAGTCCCCAAGAGGCTGGTCTCTACCTGCTCAGTTTGCTTGGCTTCCCAAGTGCACCACCAGTTTTAAAGAGTGCAATGTGCTGGCTTCCCTCAGAATACCCCCAACAATTAATTTCAACTTGCCTAACTTTAATCTTCTCTTTGAGCAGGGTGAATATTGCTGCAGAGGCTCCTCTCTCCCCTCTAGTTAGTAGGAGCTGAAACCTCCTGCTTGGACTCATTGAGTAGCATCTCAGAATGGCTAAAGCTGCAGGGAGGTGACTGCCTGTCCCACAGCAGGTACCAGCCTTTTCTTCCCCCCAAATGGGAGCAAGAACAGGCCACCTCACAGGCACAGACAGTGGCAAAGTGCAGGATTCCTGATGTCCCACACTCTGCTGTCCCTCCATGGTTGTGCTCAGGATTTGAAATACTTCTGTGCCTCTATTTTCATACCTTTTGCTGGGATGGCCGGTGGCTGCTCCAGTTTCTCTTTCTTTTTCTTTACCTTCTTAGGCTGTAGAGGAGACATGCTGGTTACACTGGTAACTGTCTCACCAGAGCTGCAAAACACAGGCCCAAGGGTGAGGGGGAAATGAAGGCAGTGGAAGGAAAGAAAGTTTGTCCACTGTGAGTTCACACAAACACATCACCTTCCACTTGTGGGAGTCCGTGCCCAACAACCTGGATTGTGATCTGGGTATATATTGAAAAACCTCTTATGGGGGTTGCAAATCCTCTGGGATTTGCAGTTTTTCAGCCATATAGTATGGCTGAGAAGCCCAAAGAGTCTCACTCATCCTGACATAGAAAAAGAAAACTGTCAGGTTTAAACAAGATGCATTTCATAGAACCTCTTCCTTAAAAGCATGTATGACCTCACTGCTGCACCTAGGGTGAACTTCTGCCCACCTGACCTCGAGGGTCAGAGTCTCAGATTACAGTAGTTACATAAGCTCCCATGGGAAAAGCATGGAAAAGCAAAATCTTCAATGCAGATTCTGGGCTAAGACTGGCTGAGGGACTAGGAGAACATGCAGCATGTCTTCAAGCAGCTCAAAAACCCACATCTGCAAAATCTGGCTTCTTCAAGAGGGCCAGTGTGCCCAGGGAAAATGAAACAAGAAGCTGTGCTCCACTCTCTAACTCAGGCATTCCCCAGTACATCTGTGCTGAAAAGGTGCTCTTAGCTATCAGGGAAGAATCCAAATTATACTGTAAACAGACCCCTATCCACTGGATTTTTATCTTTATCACCTCCCAAAGGCTGAGATCAAAAGCCCTGCTTTGAATATTCAGGGCTCAAATATGCAGCCAGGTTGCAGTGGCTGTCACTGGGGTCACTGAGCTGTGGTAACTGACTCTGCAGGGGCTCCCTGCTTGCAGCTGAAGGGGAATAACATTGTACTGGCTTCAGTGGTGATGGAAGGAACCTTCACTTACAGCTGGGGTGTGGGGACAGTGTAAACCATTCAGTTATGATGACTGCAGTGATGGAGGTCACTTGGTAAGCAGCGGCTGCTCAGCTGCATCTGCCCCTGGGCTCACTGTAGCAGGTTAGGGCAGTGTGGTTGTGGGGACCTTTCTCTTCTGTGCTGTGAGTCCACCAAGCCATGGAATACAACCAGGGTCTCCATAGTCATAACACTGACACCACTTATTCCACTGAATTTTAAATCATTTGTCCCAAGCTACTGTTCCTCTCCAGATTCTTTTGCATAAAGAAACACACTCTTTATATTAATATAATAAAATATTCAGACTGGGCAAAAGACTTAATGAAAGTTAAGATATCTCAGCTATTGCCCACACAAGAACAACAAAATTACAGACATTACCATTTTATGCAGTTGTAAATTCAAATGAATGTCACTACCACTGGTAAAATCACTCTGGATTTACATTTGTATGGATTGCAAAAGGACTCTGGATTGTTGGTTTTCCTGACTTCTGTTTCATGTACTCAGTCAAAAACATAGGTTTGCTGCCAAACTTTCTAAGAAGTGTTTAAAAAATAAAATATGTTCACAATGTACAAATAAATTACAAATGAGGGCTGGATTGAAACAATTCCTAAGTCTGCCTGCTCTACTATGAACCTATCCCACAACAACCATTTGTTTCTATACCAAAATCAAGATTAAATGGTTTAAAACCAGCAGAAAATGAAATTGTTATGCCTGGTTTCTTTGTACAGACAGGAAACTACCTAGAAAAAAGACTACCAAAAAGGAGACAAGAATGATTTTTTTAAATGTTTTTGGTTTTAATAATCCAAGGTCATTAAGGCAGATGTGTAGCTTAAGGATGCTGTCGTTATGACATAACTTCTTAAGCACAGTATATGAAAAATCTCGATGTCAATTCATTGCATTAGTTATTGTTCCTGCTTTTCCAGGAAAAGTGAAGCTACAAAGAATTGTATTTGAGACTTGCAGACTTCTTTTAAATGCCAGGGTCACACAGGGTTAACTAATTCTGGGAGATACAATAACTATACTTGCTGTCTCAGAGCTGAGTTCCTCAAACCAAACAAGGAGGCTCAGAAAAGACTCCTTGGACCTGAAACACTGCCTCTTTGTGAGCTTTCATGTTCTATGTCTAAAAGGAAAGTTAGTTTTTTATCTCCAGCTCCTTCTTCAGCCGCTGGGCTTCTATTTCAATGGTGTCATGTGGTACATTTTTTGAAGGATCTAATGAGTGTTTAGAGTGTAAGATTAACATAGGTGTTTGGGGAAGTAACCTGTGGAAGATGTGTAATAATCATAGAATGGGGCAGCAGTTGCCCTGAAGGTCACGGCTGTTCCAACACCTACTGAATCTTGACTTTGCTATCCTTATTAGAGTCTAGGATGTGGAACTTCCCATTGCCATCTAAGTCAGCTGTTTTCTCTTGTCAAAGGTCTGCAGGGGGTAACAAAAAATGCACCTGAGTGAACTGGGAGTTACTCGGATATTTTTCAGATAGGAGAGCTGTGTGAAAAGGTGTCAGGGATATCTCGATTCTTGTTTCTGGTTCTGTGTGGCAGAATGTGCTCCTGTAATGTGAGACTGGCACTGTGGAACCAAGGTGTCAAGATGGACAGCTTTCTGAGGCAAACACTTTATTTACCTCCAATTACTTATCTCCAGAAGAGCAGTAACTGAAGGACTAGAGAGTTCAGGCCAACACAAATATAAAAGACCGAAAAAAATGTTCCTGCTTTCAAAGCTTCACCTCCTGGGGGTTTCTGGATCTGAAAACTGGCAAAATGATCCAATAACAAGGAAAATAATATGAAGAAGGCCATTTAAAGAAAATACCAGAAAATGGAATTAGGTGGTTTGGGAAACTAAAAATAACTGTACTATTTTATTTAGGTAGTTATTTTTAAAATGTGGTAAAGAAATGGATTTTGGTCAACTCATTTTTTTTTCCTTAATTTGTTATTGGTCAAGTAGCAAACCAAAACCTAAACATTTGCTTTGTTATACTCCAGAAATCTGGATTTAATTTTCTTTTCTACCACAGTCATTTTGTGAGACCTGGGGCAAATCACTTTGCCCGTTGTGCTTTAGATTCCAATTAAAAGCAAAAACATCATTCTCATGTCAAGACAAAAAATATTTTAAGATGGTTACATATTACTGCAGTGGGAATACAGACATTTCTTAGACACCAGACTATTAATGTAATTTTGAAAGTGGAGTCTATTCTTTGTTTGAAATATCACTAAGGGAGCTGGAGTTGAGCTTCTCTAATCAAGGCTGAATTTTGCACAGTAGTAATTTTAAATGACAAGGACCTCATGCAAATTAGTTAATCAGTTTGTCCTAATGGATATTTAGACAGTAGGTTTTGGGTCTAAGTGTGTCGAATTAAGTTCCAAGACAAGGAATTTACAGGTGAAGAGCAATGAGTTTGAAGGAAGTGATGGTTTGTATTTTGAGCAGAGGATGGAAAACAAATGGTACCAAGTGTGAAACATAATTATGATGCTGGTAACACATTCATAGGTATTTAATTTTAAAGCCCCAAAGTCAATGCACTTTAGACATGCATTTGTGTGATCGAGGATTTCATTAGCATAACTTGTCACACTGAAATACATGAAACCATGTTTTTATCCATATAGAGTCATGCATTTCTTTCACTTCTAGAGGATCTGTTTTACGGTGAAGAAATCACCTTGGCTTGTTTGCTCTCTAAGTTCAGTGTTTGCAGCAGTATCACTGCTACATCATCTATTCCCAGAGAGCCAGAATTTGTTGAATAAATTCTTATCTAACATGCTCCATTTTTTCAGTTGGATCTCATTTTTCTTCTCTTTTTATATTCCTTACCAATATACTTTGATTTCCTCCCCTTCCCCATTCTTTTTTGTTGGTTTGTTTTTTGTAATTCCAACTTTGTCCCAGTAGTTACTAAAGAAGGGGGAAAGTGAAAACATGCAGGAAAAATGAAAACTGCTGAGCTGTCTCTAAATTTTTGGGTGGTGCAATGGCTGGTCAAGGTCACAGAACAAAGATCTGTCCATAAATAACGTGAAAGTTTTGGTTTGTACTGGCCTGTCCTGAACCCTGTGCTGCTTTGTTTTGATTTCACTTTTGAGTGCCAGTTAGATTGAATACAATGATAATCCCATGAGAATGCATAAAAATCACACTGTTGGAGGATCTAGAGTGTGCTGTACTTGGCATTGAATCCCATAGTGTTTAAAGAGACTTTGAGAAACAATATGTGACACCAAGAGGTGTCACATATTTAAACTGAAAGGCTAAAAACACATGGTTTCTGTCACTGAAAACTGGGAAACAGCTGTGCTGTTATGAGGCATTCCTCTTTCATCTTTTTTGTTTGTAAAATATTTGTCATATATTTTTACTGCAGTTCCAGTCCAATATACATATTAGGAAAATCATACAATGGGAATCAGTTTTATAGCCACACCATAAAAAACTTTTGGCAGCTGATAGTATTTAAAGGGACAGTGATTAACACTGCAGAAGCAGAAGAATTCTTCCCATCACTTGGAGTCTTCAGCTGGGAACAGACTGTGAGCCTTGAAAATCTGAAGTCCACTCTGTCCCTGTGTGTGGGAGCCCCTGGGTCACATTGTGATTTGGTCTATGTGCATGGACAGTTTAAGTCTTTACCATCCCATGAGGTGTTGGGGAACCCTGGAAACCCACACAGATTGAAAGCAGGCTTCTTCAGAAAGCAATTCAGAACATCAAGGAGAGGTTTGTCACTGGAACACCTGCAGGACCTACAGCTAGATTCTCCCAGGTAGATTCTCCCTTTTCATGCACAACAGGCACATTCAGGAGCCAGGGATCTGCGAATCTTAATGTTCCCATAAGCATTTTGAAAACATTACTCCTATTTTTCACATAGAGCAAAACAAATAGCACACATAGCAAAACAAATCCAGAGCTGGTACCTTGGTACAGAACAAAGAGATGTGTAATACCCTACCTGTTCTGGGGGCATTTCACCAGGTAATGCTTCACTGTTAAAGAAAAGAAAAAAAGAAAGAAAATGTGGCTTCATACCAGCATAGTTTATGAATTTCAAATGAGCACTGCAGACAGACCTGTGTTGCTGAGAGGGTGGAGTTGCCAGGCTGTTACACTGGGAGAGCAGATGATAGTCACCATACATTGTATTGTGCTTTAAAATGCAGTCAGACTTGAAGACATAGCTAGTCTTGGGAGAGGGGAATGTATGAAACAACACCAAAAATCTGCTGTGGAAATGCTGGGCAACACACATTCCAGTGGTCAGCCCAGCCAAAAGACAGCTTGCTAAGGAAAAGCGCAGCAGGCCAGTAATTTTACTTTGAAGACTTTTATTTCCCTTGTGGTGCCTGTATTTATTTCCAGAAGCCTGAAATAAACTGTTCACCCACAGGAGGCATGGCTATTCCTAATGTAAGTCAGACTGTGGCCACAGGCATAAAGAGATCCCTTCTGGGATTAGATCAGAGGTCCAGTCCAGCCACCATCCTGTCTCTGACAGCTGTGTGTGTGAGCTGCGTAAATCCTTCTTCATATTCCTTTGAGTCAGTAGTGCTGAGCAAGGGCAGCTGCCCCCACTGCAGCCTTTTAGGAGCCAGTGTTATTAAAATGCTCTTTTGTGGCTTTCTGGCTTCTATGCCTCTCTTAAAGGACAGACTCTGGCTCTCCTGGTCAACCTACTGCCAATTTATATCTCAGAAGGATGAGAAAGTGCATCCCTGGGTCATGATGTGAAGTTGAATGCAACACAGACATGCCCCTCCCTTCCCATTCTCTGTTCTTTAAAGGACCATGAAAAGCAGACACCAGGGCACTCACATGACTCTGCCCCTAACTATAGGAAAGTTTTCTTATTTGGACTTAGCTATACAGCTCCCAGGAGGTGAATTTTGGTCCTAAGGAAATGGGTGCTGAGAGCACCAGGAGCTGGGACTAACACAGGACAAGGTTTAGGCCAGTCAAGGCAATGCTTCCATCTACTTGTCTGGCCTTTTTAAAATGTATAGGAGGACAGTAGCCCAATCCTTCAGGACTAAGGGAATGCTCATGTACAACGCTGACACATTTTTGAGCATGCAAATATTCAGATATTTGGGTAGCAAAGAAAGGTTTCAGCATCTCATAAGAACCTGCTTTTTCTCTTTTGTAAATCCTTGTTCTATATTGTATATTAATATTTAGCTGCTGTTGGTTCAATGTAAAAAGACCTTTCCTTCAAGTTGCTTGTATGCTCACAGTAGTAGATTGACAAAACCAAGCAAATTCTAACCCAATGTCTGCTAAAGAAAAACTGAGATATATCAGTCTAGCGCTTGTGGCTTCAGGGTGACTCACCATGACCAACATACTTAAGTGTGAGTACTCCCTTAGCACAAAACCTTTGTCATCACTTAACAGGGTAAGAAAAATAACATCGATCTTGCTCCTTCCTCTTGGCAAGCAGAGTTGTTGGGTTCAGTTAGAATCAGAGTTGCTCTGCTAAGTGCACAACCAGGAAGATGGAGCCACAGTCTGAAATGTGTTTGTGGTCAGGCAAGGGCTTCTCTATACATCTATTTCTGGCTTACATGTCCTCACTTGTGTATCTGAGTCACTCACTCCTTCGTGGGATCTCTGTAGGCTGCAGAGGCAGCAAATTCATTATTCTCTCCTGTCATTAACAGCAACTCACTAACCAGACTCCTCCTGAAAGTTTCTGTTCAGAGGTGGTCCTCACACTCTCCTCTGACATGGTGGCTGCTAAGTGTGCTGGTATCTCATCCTTGTAGCTTGTGTGCGGTCTCCAAATAAACCACTTTTAAACTGAGATGAAAGTAGAGCCTGCACTGGTTACTCCACAGATCTGAAATAGCACTTCTGTTTACAATAACACTGCTTTGATGCAGCTTCTTTGAGAAACCCTCTCTGAGGCCAAGAATGACACAGTAACCCTTGATCTTGAAATATTATTATGGAAAGACAGATTTGAAAGTTGAAATGATGCTTTAGTTTCATAAAATACTGCGAGATAGTGCTAATAAAAGCCCTCAAATTCCCAACAATATAGACAGCTACTCAAGAAAGGAGAATAAAATAGAACAGAGTTAAGATTGCTTTGAAACCCCTCTACACATTTAGAGAAACATGGCTCATGCAAAATTTTAGCTTCTGGTCAGAATGCAACTCAATGGTTTGGCACTTGGTCTCCTCTAAAAGAAGTTCCAACTACTTTCAATTTATGTTTGTGCAAAGGTAGAAGATTTTTGAAAAGTCCAAAGCAAATTTAGTTTTATTTCCTCGCTATTTAAAGGGAAGAAAATGCCTATGTTCTAATTTGACTGGCAGAAATTTCCTCTTCCTACCAATTTTATTTAAAATTACAATCAAGCCAAGGAAATGTTTATTTTTCCTGCTTTCTCTGCACTCCTCTCCCTCTGTTCCCCTTTCTGGCAAGGACTTTGCAGTCATCAAGAGTGGTATTTCACTCACCTGTGGATCTCCTCTTGTTCAGAAGGGACTGACAGAGAATGACAAGTGTGAAAAGGAGGACACTGACGATTCCTATGGAGCACACAAACACTGCATACACGTACAGATCTGAAACCCAAGCACAGATAATGGTCAGTGCTGCAGCTGATGCTTCATGATGATGGGACAGGAAAAAGTTACACCTACAAGATGTAAACAGACTCTGGTCCAATAGATTTAGGGTAACAGTTCAGAAGTAGTTTAACCCTCTTGAAACTTTCCTATAGTATTCTGCTTAGTTTGAAATTTGGTTGAAGTCTGCATAAATGCAAATAGGCGTAACTGCACTTCAGAGTTGTGACTTTCAGAAGCAAACAAAGGACTGGTTTGGGGTTTGGGGATTTTTGAGCAACAACTCAAAACCCAAAAGGACTTCAGCTGAGTTATTTCCCAGCTCAAACAGCTATACTTTTTTTTTTTTTTTTTTTTTTTTTTTTTGTTTACAAAAGGAAAAAACAAGCACTAAAACAAGAAAAGTGGCAGTGGGGAGAGTGCTGAGTGGCTGGGGAAGAAGGAAGAAATTCTGCAATTGCTTCTTCTGCTGGCAGCACTGGCTTGAAATTTTTGTAAGATTATTTTTTTCTTTTGCAAACTACAGCCTTAGTCTCTCCTCATGGCTTTAATTCAGGTCTTGTAACATATTTCCAGTGGTTATTTTCCCATTGCCCATAACAAATATACAAGAAACTGAAGCTGGACTCTTCTAGTCTCTTTTGTCCAGCACTTCTTGTATCTTGTGGGACGATTTCTCAGGCAAGGCTGGGTTTGCACAGGAACTAGCAAAGTTGGTCCTGATTTAGGACACTTTAGTTGTCCTGTCCATTGGACTAAACTAACATCATGTATAAACACAGTAGCAGTTAGATGTATCTTTACCTTCAAAAAACTTCCAAGCTTCATGATTTTTCTTGAAAGTTGGAAGATCAGAAGATTTTGTCAAAATCACTGAAAAAAACCAAACAAGATATGACAAAAACTGAAAAATGTGTGACAAAGAAGTTTGAACCTCTTGAAGTAAATGTATTCTGCCTTAGACTTCAGTGTCCCAAGATCTTGCTTTGTCTAATTGTCTTTTGATGAAACAGTTCAGAATTGTCACAGAATTTTCCTCTCTGTTTCAGAAGGCTGGATGACTGCCAATATCATAACAGCTGTACAGCCTAGAACCAGAATCCAAATGCTCTGACTGCTGAAATGTTGCTCAAAACCCTCTCTGCTCTCCTCCACCAGATTATGTATGCTGATATTTTTTATGACATCACTTAGGCCAATTCCATGACTTTTCTTTCTCTAGCAATCACTGCAATGAAATGGGAGTCTGATAATGTCCTCTAGATTGCCAGTGAGGTCTGAACCTCCAAAAGAGCTTCATGTGGCAAATCACTAGAGAACAAGTATCTTACTGGCAAAGGAATTCATTACTGAGTGCCCTGCAGGGATGTGAAGGGTGGGGTTAGATCAACGGATATACAACTTTCAGGATTGATGAAATCTCTTCAGTTTTGATGGGAAGCTCATCCTGAATATTTTAACAAATTACTCATTTTTACATGAAAGCATCACATGTGTAGATTTTTGGCAAGTATTTCAGGATAACTTCCCAGAGAAAAGGGCTTTTGTTCATTTTGAGAAAAAAATAAACTTGCATTCCTGCATCTTGCAACATTTTTACTGTTAGAAAATGCCACATGTAACTAAGAAGTCAGACTTTCTTCTATGGTAAATTCTGGTAAATAAGCTTCCCAACAAGACAGATTGTTGTGATCATCTACTTGTTTTTGTTGTCCATGCCAATAGGATTATACATGGACTGCCTAATTTTCTATGTTTGTCCTTCCACAAGTAGTCTCTTCTCTTGGACTACTACATCATTTAGAACATATATTGCTCTTCCTAAGAGATGTGCAGTATCATGAGGGATTGCCTGATTGTAAGTGATGGTTTTGGGGTGCTGAATACTGTTCTGAGAAAGATACTGATTACTTTGAGTTTTCTGATAGGAAGGGAGTAGAAGAACCATTTTTCTGATTTTTTTTTTTCCTGATAAACTTGGTTTTTGTGTATTCTCAACTATAATTAACTTGGTTTTAGGCTGACATTGATGACACAAGCCCAGGAAGAGAAGCCTTTAATGAGAATATGGGGGAAGGAGAAAAAGTTGACCTTATCATAGACATTGTGTGGCTGGATTAGGAGGCACTTCTTGGCAACACTGGCACATGGATTTTTCTTGGTTTTACTAAAAATATTTACTAACAATATCCTTCTTATAAATGCTTTCCAATGTCTTGTATTCACAACACTGAAAGGGACAAACTGCAACAGTTCAAATTTCTGGTGGACCTTCTGAAAACACTACAGTTGCTGTAGTTGACATGAGCGCAGGAACACAAAACTGTAACAACTCCATCTCCAAGGCTTCTTTTCCAAAAAATGCATTTTTCCCCTAAAGTAGAAGCCAGATATGTAATTAAAATTTAAATGTCATCATTATATGGTAAGGAATTGTAGCCTGTAACTCAATTGTTTTTCTGTAAGTCCAATATGTATATTTGTACAAATCTATGTGTTGCGACAAAATGTGTTTGCAACTTATTAATGGCCTATGCAAGTTTGCACAAGCAAACTTGCTGGAAAATAACAAAATCTGAATTTAAATGAATAGCAGTAGATACTACAGATCCAGCTGTCAACTTGATTCAAGAGCAAGTTACATTTTGAAGAAGCAGAATTATCCTTTTCCCCCTGGAAATCTGCATCTTGCAGAGCAACCTCCTCTTTCTGTGTGAATATTTTTTTTTTTTTAAAGGGACTGTTCTATTTCTGCCTCTGCTTGATGTGCAAAGTTTTAAGAAATTTGTCTGGTTCTTTAGTATAAAGATGCTATTTTGAATTTGGGCATAACTGCAGACACATTACTGGAACAAAATGTTAGGCACCACAGCAATTGTGATGCGGTGGAACACTGCTACCTTATTTGAAAAAGCACCAGCAGTATAACTTAAGTATCCAAATGCTTCAGGCAATTTGTATTGCTCCTTTTGTTGCATCCTGGGTCTAACTGCAATATAAGTAAATCCCTTTGCAATAAAAAGTGTAACTGATCATAATATAAAACACAAAATGCATTTGGAATAAAATTTCCTTGAAAAGCCCAAGTGTTACTTTTGGGAAAACTGGAAACTTTATCAGTACTTGGAAAAGCGTTACCTTCCCTCTTAAGCACAGCAAGTACTGTACACTCAGGGTGCATTAGCCAAATGCTAGCAAAGGTGGTCGGTCCTTTGTTTCCAGTCAAGAGGCTTTAAGTGGTAAAACAGTTGCTATGACATTTAAAGATATACAGTATTTCAGATATCTTTTGGTATCTTTAATCTAGATTTAGAGTTAGAATAAATAGGCTTTTAAGGGGCCAGGGTGTTTGCGGTGTTTGCCTCATATCCCCACAGGGTGTCAAAACCTTTCTGCAGGCTGGCCAGCCTTCCTCCCTTGTCTCAGGTTTCCTGCTCTGCTTTGGGTCACTTGAAGTGGAGAGCGGCAATACAGCTGAGCACAGTGTGAAAATGATGAAATAATGAGATCGCAAATCCCTATTCTGATTATATATTCATGACTCATACTAGAAATCTGGGGGAAAATATTATGTAAGGACTGGACTGAACAATTATGGATTTCCTTTTTTTCAGTAATTTCATTGATCTGAACTCCATAGTTTAGCTCTGAAAAGTAATGAGAGGTTTCAGTGTTATAATTAGCAATATTCCAAGAAGCTATGAAAGATGTGGAGTGTGTCTTTGTGAGGAGGAGTATGACAGGTGGGGTGACAATATTTTATATTGCTTTTTCTTCTGCTTTTTCTTCTTCTTCTTTTTCTTACTTGGAACATGCCATTCCATCTCCAAGAACTCCTGATAAATCCATATATTTCTACTACAGGCATTTAGGAGCTTACATCATTCAGTGAATGAGAAAACACTCAACACTGCTTTCTGGCCTTATCTTTAAAGTTGTCCCTGTGAGAAACCAACTTTTCTTTTCATAGAGACACAAGCAGAGGGGGTAATTTGCCAGCTAGCACTGATGGCACAGCTGCTGAGCAAAACCACCTTTTCAAAGGAATCTGTTCTCGAAATCCAACTTCACCCATCTCTGAGAGTGGTGGCTTAAGAATTGAGCTCATACATCCCAAAGAGATAGCTTGTCTTCAACTTGGTTCAACTTGTTGCTGGGCATTTTATCCAGAGTTCAACACCAGCAGGCTGGCCATTGCTCTTCTAGCTCTGCTTTCTGACTGCAAGTGGTATAAACAATAGCACTGAAGTGATAGTAAAAGTGCTACTTATCAACTGGTGCTAGACTAGAACTAGGACCAAGGGAAACACTAAGAGAGAGGCAAAACGTAAGTTGACTATTAGGTTTTCTTCTCCTATCCACAGATTACATTCAAAAATAATCTAAATTCAAATGTCTTATGGGTGAATTTACAAGAAAAAATGGGGATCACAGGACAAGAAGAAATTATGGACTTGAAATCAGTAATCTCTCACCTCTTATTTCAGTAGCTGCTGTACCATTTGACCATGCTGTCCACTTATTTCTGTGTTTGCCAATTTCCTGCACTTTGCATATATAATGTCCTTGATCTGTTTGCTGGAGGCTTAAAATAAGAAATTTGTACATAGTTCCACGTTTCTCTTTAAGAAGATGAAGTCTTTGCTTGTGAAAATGATGAGTATAATTTCCATAATACTGGACAGACCCAAACTTTGTCATTTTGATCATCAGATGCTCCTGGGTTGGTGATGCAGCAAAGACCCACCGCACAGCCAGCAAATTGTCTGTCTTTCTCTTTTGAGAAACGTGGCAGTAAAGGGTAGCATTATCCCCCTCAGAGTATTGCACTGTTGGTCCAGGAGAGACTGTCACATTTAAAGCCTCACAAACATCTGTAAGGAAAGAAAAACTGGTGAGAATCCTCCATACTGGCACAACAGTGCCATAATCTGTCCCAGCATGCAAGCCCAGAGCAGGTAAACTGACAGCATCTCTTTAGTGTGCAGTAATTGAATGACCTTGTAGAACCTGACATCATCTGCCTCTCTGTGAATGTTAAGGATGGGGTGAGGCCCTCCTCCTGTGAGTCTGCCCCAGCATTTTTTCTGTCACTAATCAATAACCTAGAGATGACATGGAGACCTTGTCACAGGACCAACTTCACGTAAACTTTTATCGGTCTTTTACAGTTTTGGAAACTGTTTCATGACCAGCTCTTCTGACAGCTTGCATCTTTCTTAGGACTTCCAGGCTAAATGCTTTCAATAACCAGTTTATGCTCATTTGTTCCTGTGCCAGCTTTAAGCTTAAAATAGCATTTTCTTCTCTAGAGCTTACTTCCTGACTCCATATACAGAGCAATTATCTGGCCTCAGCCTTTGCTTTGTTGAGCTAAAGAAGACAAGCTCTGTTAGTCTCCTCTAGTAAAGTAGTGTCTTCCCTATTCACCCTAACAGCCCTTCTCTGCATTGGTTGTAGTTTAAATTTTGGGGTTGATTGTAATTAATTTTTTTTTTTAATGCAATTGACTGCAGTTACAGGCAGTGTCTGGAAAAAAATTCTCCATTGTCCTGTGGAATACTCGAGTACTTCTCAGATTTGACTGATATACCAGGCAAGGTATATCCCAGAATTATCTTGTCCTTTTTCATATGTGATTTTATGTCAGGTGACAAATAAATAGCATAATTGTTTTTTTTCCCTTCTTCGTCATTTGCAGTTCAGTCACCAGCATATCAAAGAAATTCTTACTAATCCCCAAGTATGTGATTTTGCTGTACTAACTTCTGCTCCACTTCTGTTACCCCATCCTCAATTTTTCCTACCTGCTGTCCTCTTCTTATGTTTATTTGATAAAGTCGGCATTTCAATGTGCATGCTTCTGTCTACTTCTTTTAGACATCATTTGTGCAGACCTTACATCATACTGTTCCCTAGATTATCACTGCAAGACCACTAAATTCTCTATAGTCTACAGTTCCTCATGTCCTCTCTTTTAAGTAATGTTGTCCTTGTCATAATCAAATGGTCATCTCAAACCTGGGTTAAATTCAGACTAGTTTTTCTACAAATTCAAGTTCATCTGACAGTATTTGCATGGCAAAATATGGCATGAGATCATACTGGGATAAATTGTTATTCCATTGTTCCATTCATTTATGATTCTTTTCTAAAATGTTCTTCATCCTAAACCATCACTTACACCAGTTCTTTGTCTCTCTTGCTTTACTTCTAATAATAGCCAGTATAGGTGAAGGCTGAAAAAAGTGTCCAGAGCTCTTTCCTAGAGGAAGATTTCCTTTTCCTGACCTAACTGACTTACACTGGACTGATTTTCTGAGGCATGGGAATCAACACTCATTTTATTTCCTTCCAAATGCACATTAAGAAAGTCCTGATTAGTCATATCAGAGAGTGATCTATTTCTGACCAATGCTGTACTGTGGCAATGTGCTCCCTAAATGACTTGTGATGTGTAACCCACCTGTGTGAGGGCATCCACTAGACAGAGAACCACATTCCAGCAGTGAGCAAGCACTCCCTGCAATGCAATCTGCAAAGCATGAAATGTCCTCTAAACTGTGAACTTCCTGCTATGTGAATACTGTATTGTACTCAAATACTAATGAGAATTGCAACTCTGGGAGGATGATTTTTTCATTTCTGGACACTTTTCTAGCACATCAGCAAGGAACATTTTAGGGGATGAGTGTTTTGGCAGAGGCTATTGTCTGACATCAGCTCCTGAAAGACAAACATATATTTATCTTCAAAATGAGTAAGTAAAGTATTTCCATTCTATTTCTGAAGGAGTTCTGGAGACAAAGACGCTGGTTTTATAGTCCCAGTGAAGCAGTGAAATGAAGCAGTGAATTGTATCACCTTACTTCAGTAAATCCACTAAATTAAAGAAGTTGCATTGCAACTGTTTGAGAAGAATTCTGAAAATTAATAGTATGATCATTATTTTGTGCCATTTCCATCAAAGCCTCTACTGAATGGCATGTTTATTCCAAGTAGACATTATTTTTTTTGTTTTGAAGGAGAAAATATTTTATATAAAGAACAGTTTGGTTTTGTTTTTTTTTTTTTAATTTTTGAAGATACTACAGCTAATCATGGATGAGGTTATTGGTAAAATTATTTGTGCATTATGTTTGTGTCTGCAATTCATGTGAATGCCAAAATAAGAGGTTATTTTGGATTGTAGAAAGCATAAAAGTAGAACAGGATGTTGAAATTTAAACTTAAGGCTGAATCCCACCAAAAGGTATCCACACATGAAATTTCAGTTATTACTGTCTGGACTTACCAGCCTTGGTGCTTTACCAGCAGAAGCGAAGCCAGTAACTGGCTGTCTCTGCTAGGAAAATAAGATTAAATTTTAAGTCTGTGCTGCTTAGTGAATAAGGAATATCTCTGAGATTTTCAACACTTTTTTGTGTCCTCAAATGTACTTTGTCTAGAAATGTTTAATAAATCATTTATAAAATTATGGTTTGGAAAAATGAGAAACACAGACCTTTTTTCTACTGAAATTATGAACATGTCATGAGAACTGTAAAGAAAAACAATTATGTCATTTAACTGACATGTGAATTTCGTTTTTGAAAAAGCTGGCTAGGAGCAATTGTGAAACAGAGTCCCCAAATAAAAGGCAAAAATAAAAAAAAAACATTGCTTAATTCCAAACTAGGCAGAACATAGTGCCAAGAAGTACCCAAGAGAAAATGCAGAGGAAGTCAGATATGGTGATGATGGTTGCCTCTGTGAGAAGATAAAGCAGCATTGTACATGAAGATTCTGATCCCTTTCTAGCTGTTTACACTCATACAAACATTGGTATTTTATACCTAATGCTTCTACTTTTCCTTTGGGGACATGCCTTTTTATAGGGACATACCAAATTTTGCCTCCTTCATGTTTCTGATCAGCGGGAACCTATCTCCTTATCTTCCTTCTCTGGCTCCCATTGGTGCTGCTGCACAAGTGCAGCACTGGGGAGAGTTTTGGAAATCTCATGCTGCTTTCATCATGGTATCAGCACATGTTGAACAGGGTCAGGTGATACTTTTATATAAAGCAGAAAAACAATATCCATTTGACTTTATCCTACTATTGCCATTAGAGGAGGAACAGTGGATTTTGAAGGAAAGAGTTTATTTACCTCCTATGTGGAAAGCAAAACCCTCATTCAAGGCCCTCAGACACTAGTGGACATGTTCCTCCTGTCTTTAGCAGGCACTGGTCAACCCCAACATGAGGTTGGCCCTTGTAATGGGCTTCCTGCCAAGAGCAGGAAACTTCACAACTTAAGAGCAGACTTGTGTGCCAACATAGCACTGAATTTCTATACTTCAGATCACTGTTTCAAGTGAGGAATCACTGTTTATCTTCTTCTGCCTTCCCAGTACAGTACAATGCAGCTGTTCAGGTGGAGCTCACCTGAGCTCAACAAGGTGTTCAGGTGGAGCTCAACAAGAGTTTCAGTCTTGTTTCTGCTTGGAAAGGGAAATTATTTACAGAATGGGGGGAGGAGAGAGAGAGAGACTTGGTGATTTCTTTGCAGTGTGCTTAACCATCAAACTTCTCTCCTTTTTGCAATGAGCTTGTTCAGTTGCTCCCATCCCAACATTTTAGCTGCTTGCTTCTCTGGTATGTTCCACCAGCATGCCTCAGTAGCCTGTGGGGACTCAGGAAAGGTGACTGCTGCCTAAGCTCTGTTTTCAAAAATCCCACTTTGAAAATAGTCTACTTCTGCTTACACCAGCAAAGTCCAAGAATTAGTTAGATTTGGACTTTGCCATCTGCCATATTACATAGCAAAACACTTTAACAGCACTGTCAGGAGTACCAAAGTATACTTCTAGCACCCAGAAACTTGTTTATGCCAGGGCCTCTCCCCTCTGTCTGTGCTGGAACAGTGCCAGAGGACTTAGAGTGGCCGCTGGTCCTTACATGTGGTGAGCAGTTTCAGCATGGCTGTGGTTTTGTGGGAGAGCCCCAGTTACTTCAGCTGAGACAGGAGTGGAACTGGTCCTGCGCACAGCTGCTCCCAGTCCAGGTTTAGTGCTATATACAGACCTCTTTCTTCCTCCATGGAGATGATTGCAGAATCTACAACACAGCCTCGAGTGCTGCAAGGACTGACAGCTGGGGGACTGGAGGTGGTTACCTTCTCATCTCAGCTTTGCATGACCGGAAGCATATGGGGTGGCTTTTATCTGTGTTGTAGTTTGTTCAGTGAAGCTATGCTACTGTCAAAGCCCACTTTCGTTTGATTTCCTTACAATTAAAAAGAGCAGATGACCCAAGAAGAAGCAAAACTCTTTGTTTAAATGAAAATAATTAGGAGCTGGCTAGCAAGAGCACCAAAAAACAACCAGCCATTTACAGTTGAACAGATCTGTCATCAAGTTCCACAAGTCAGAAGCTCCCCCTCAGAGAAAGCCTCTGCACTGACTAAAGATGGACTTGAACCAAACCTCTGCCTCCACCATCTCATGCCTTTCTGCACTGGAGTTCAAACTGAAGCCTCGAATGAGCGAGGCTTCCCCACCCCTCTAAGCTCACCGCACCTGGAAGTTCAGATCCAGACTCTGTGTCTGTTCTGCAGCTTCAGGACACACAATGCTGTCCAATACAATATACCTTTGTTTTCAGAGGCATAAAGGGTCTTAAAGAGAGGACGCTTTTTACAAGTGACCTACAGGTCCCATTTCCACCTGATGCCAACGGGATCGGGGCACCTGTGGAAAGAACAACGCCGAATCTCCCTTCGCTTCGGCTTTGCCTGGCACAGAAGACAGCCGAGACCCACTTCCATGAACTCGCATGGAGAGGGCTTTCTTTTCTGAAGGGGATCCGATCGCTGCGAAGAAGCGCTGCTGCCGGGCGCCCGGGGAAGCGGCAGGGAGCGGGGCAGGGAGAGGGGCAGGCAGCGGGGCAGGGAG